TGAAGTTGTCACAAAAATAGGTTCATGAGCTCAACCTGTTGCCTAAAACCTTTCCCGGTAAAATGGAGGGAGAAAGCTCCCTATCTCTCCCTCTCCTCTATCTTTGTCTCTCCTCTCTCCATCTCCTTCTCATCCTCTGCAAACGATAGAGGAAGTTTTCCCTTCTCTACGAGACCCAACGGCTCTCCTCTCTCTCTCACGGAAGCTCTGCAAACCCAACGACTCTCTCAAACCTCATCTCTATGCAGACCCTCGTTTCTCTCTAACTAACCCTAGCGGAGCTCTATCATCCTCTGTGAGCAAGAACTAGACGAACCTATGGGAGCAAGAGCAGCAACCTCTCAATCAAAAAGATTTTTCTTCTTCTTTTTTTCTTACTAATTTTAGGTTTTTACATTTTTTGCTAGGAAACCCTGTAAAATTTTTAGGGATTTTTTTATATTTATCGATTTTAAATCTGCAGTAAAAAAAATTTATCCCTTTCCCAATATTTCTCTATTGTAAATCTCTTCGATTTCATTCTATTTTTTGGTTTCTTGCTCCATTTATTTGCATAAACAGGGAAAAAAGATAATCTGATTTAGTTCATTTATTCTCAAGAATTTCTCCCCTCCTCTCGTGACTCACATATTTCTTCCTCGACTCCCGTGTCTCTCTCTCTCTCTCTCTCTCTCTCTCTTTAAGTCCACCATTTCTGCTTCTCTGTTAAAAGATCGGGAGCTTACTGTCACAGAAATGAGGTTCGGAATATCCCATTGTTACTTGTTTGAGAGTTGAACATGACTCTATGACAAATTGAAGTGTATGTGTATGGAATGCTCTCTCTCTCTCTCAAACTATATTGTATAACAAAGATGTGCTTGTTCCATTTCTCTTTTTGGCTGTCCTTTTTATTCCATTGAATTTCTACCCTCATAGTCACTGAATTCTGTTGCATTTTGGTTTTGTATTTGCTGAAACTTGACTATGAGAATTTTCTTAATCATGTGTGTGATTTGTGGTATTCTTCCATTCAATAGAAAATGGATTTGGTTGTTGATTTAATCACATTAGTGAGGTGTGGAGAAGCCCAACATATATTCATAATGTTAAATGATGCTATAGAAAGCCTAGGGCATATCACTATTCACAAGGAGATTTTCTTATACTTGACCCGAACAGTGGCATAGAACTATTGTCTCATTTTCTATTAACCTCCCAAAGTTGATTTTTTTGTAATGAGGCAGCTGAAAAAAAACAAAGGGCGACCTTTTGGAGATTTGTAACATCTAAACAAAGGTTGACATGGTTATGTTTCACTGACCAATGTATTAGGACATATTTTTGTTCAACATTATTGCTTGGAATCTTATTAGAATATATTTTTTAGCTTTGTGCAACATTATTGTATAATTAGTTAGGGACTCCCAAGAAGCAAATTCTAAGAAAAAATTATTGAAATGCAGACCTTTGGGCTTTATGAGATGGACCAAGATAAGTTCTATAAAGACAATTTTATGGATGCAAGTTATGATAATGTCATAGCAACTGGGGATGATGAGGATAATGAGGTCCCACTATTTTGCGATCAACAAGACGATAGTGGGCATCAAAAGGACTTATTTGTAGGAATGAACTTTGAATCTAAGGATGTTGTGTATCTATTTTACAATGCATATGCCTAACAAAAAGGCTTTAGCATTCGTCTTGAGAGGCCAAAGAAGGACAAGGACAACAATTTGAGGATGCGATATTATGTTTGCTCAAAAGAAGGCAAACATAATCCAAAGTATACAGGAAAAATTCATCCTCGACCAATAATAAGGGAATGATGCAAAGCAATGTTATGGGTACGCAGGATGACAGAGGGAAAGTAGGTTATAACGAAATTTGTTGAGGAGCACTCACATAAGTTTACATCGTCACCAAAGGTGCATCATTTGAGATCACAACGGTGCATCCCAACAGCTACCATGAACTTGATTAAAGCGATGTCTTCAGCAAGGTTTGGTGTGCATAAACTTATACAAATTTTAACAGAACATGCGAATGGGTATGCTCTGGGCTTCACTCACAGAGATGTCGAAAACTTTATCCATAGCACCCTTAGGAAGGCGAGTGTTAGAGGGAGGGATGGAGAAGCTCTTTTGGCCTACTTTCGTGAGGGTGTTGAGGCAAACTCATGGTTTCTTTTATAAAATACAGCTTGATGAAGTAGGTCAAGTCAATAATGTGTTATGGATTGACTCGCGATCAATGATATCATATGAGAACTTTGGGAGGTAGTTATTTTTTATACAACATATAAGACAAATACATATCACATGCCTTTTGCCCCTATTATAGAAGCAAACCACAACAGAAATAATATAATCTTTGGCTGTGCACTAATTAGACATGAGACAACAAGTCTTTTAGTTGGCTGTTTGAGCATTGGCTAGAGGCTATGCAGGGTCGAGAACTGGGTTGCATCATTACTGATTAAGACGCAGCCATGTCTGCTGCAGTTAAAGAAGTTATTCCAACTACAAAGCATCGATTATGTAGATGACACATTTTACAAAAGTTTCAAGAAAAATTGGGCCATGTTGAGCGAAAGCACCTAAGGTTCTTACATGAGCTGCATAGAATCACTACTGATTATAATGAAACAATTAATGATTTTGAGGATCGTTGGTCTAAATGCTCCAAAAATATGAACTCGGGGGGAATGAATGATTGGACACAATATATGGATGTCGTTCTCAGTGGGTTGATGTGTATATGAAGGATACATTTCTTACTGGTGCACGGTCTAATCAACGGAGTGAATCTATGAATAGTTTTAGTAAATAGTATGTAAATTTACATACCAATTTTTCAAGATTTGCAAAGCAATGCTAGAAAGCAATCGATCATCTATATGAGAAAAAAATTATGATAGACTCTAAGAGCACTAAAGGTATTCCAATGACGAGAACGACAATTCCCTATGAAAAACAAGCTGCTAAGTTGTATACCCATCGTGTATTTAGGAAGTTTGTTGAGGAAATTCAAAAGATACCTCCCATGGTTGCAGAGTCTATAGAAGTTGAGGGACCAAATATCAAATATAGAGTGTATAAATATGATGTCAATCGACCACAATATAAAGTGGTATTCAACAAATCAGAAATCACAGCAACTTGTACATGTTGCCTGTATGAACATGATGGTATTCTTTGTGCACATGTCTTAAAGTTTTTCTATTATAATAATGATATACTCATCCTGAGCACCACATCATGAGAAGATGGACTAAGGAAGGAAATAAAGGGATGGTATCAGATGGCGATGGTGTTCAAATTAAGGCTGACTATAAGGAGTATCAAATTGCTCATTATGATGATTTAAGTAGAGTCGCCTTTAAAGTTGTATCAAATGGATCAGCTAGTGAAAGACTTTGCGAATTTACAAAAAATATTCTTATGGAGTGTAATTAAAAAGTGGAGAGAAAGATATTGGAGTATGAAGAAGAAGCAACTCGAATCAAGGTAGCAATATAAAGGATGTCATGCCTAGCCAAAGTTATATACCATAGACTAACCCAAATATCTTTATACTTGAACCACAATGTGCTCAAACAAAAGGGCGGCTTGCCAGTGCAAGAAAGAAAGCACCATGGGAGGAGAAGACAAGCACGAGGAAGTTTTCTGTTTACCAAAATATTGGGCATGATAGGCATACTTGTCCAACTTTTAGAACTCAATGGTAAAATTATAATTATGCTTACAATTATAATGTAATAATGTTATACTTCATTATTGTCTTGTGAATTTGAAATAATGCATCAACAAATCACTATTTTGCAACTTATCCGGGTCCGATATGGAAATTCCCATAATGGAGCCTGAAGCTGAGCAAAACAATATGTAGACTTCACCATGTACACGATTCCTTTTTTTGATGGTATATCGATAATACATTTGCACTGATTGGTTGTTATATGTTAAATGTATTAGGGTATAATGGCATGTGTTTTATGTTAAACGCTTAGCTATTTCCATTTTCAATTGATTACTGAGCTAATGTATATCCTAAATTTTCAATGATTATATCAATTAGGATAACGATGCAAGAAGTCAACTGGAGTTTTTTTTACAAGCCCAATGGTCAACCCTCAAGCTCATCATCATAGAAATTTTTTGCAAGCCCAATGCTCAACAATCAAGCTCATCATCTCATAAATTTTTTGGAATCCCAATACTCAACAATCAAACTCATTATCTCAGAAATTTTTTGCAAGCCCAATGCTCAACAATCGAGCTCATCATCTCAAAAAAAATTTGCAAGCCCAATGCTCAACAATCAAGCTCATCATCTTAGAAATTTTTTGCAAGCCCAATGCTAGTGGAGAAGACCTTGTCTTGGAATGGAGCTTTGAAATGAAATTTGTGTATAGCTTCCATATGTTGCAAAGTGCATGTTGAATAGCATCAAAATGAAATTTTTGTATAACTTTTCATTTTGCAAATTGATGTTGTAAATAAAATCTTTGTATACCTTCAAAATGAAATTTTTGTATAGCTTCCATATGTTGGACCCATTAAGGAGAAAATTCCTTTTATAAAATTTCTGTATAGCTTCTGTATTTTTGTACAGCACAAATTGAGTACATTATTCAAAGTTTGTCGAGGGTTACATTCCTCGTGTTGAATTACATATTTCAACATAAGAATGCTTCTAAGATAAAAGAATGAAAATATTTTACTTTGAACTGTCAGGGGTCTGCTAGACCCCAGTTAAACAACCCAAGACCTGAACTCCATAGCGATATACAGTTTATCTGGAGTTCATCACACTTTGTTTGCTTCTTTCTCATTTTGTACATGTTATGATGAACAACACTATATTACATTAAAGGAAAAGTTTTCTAGAAATTGAGAAGATAATTGCAGATCTTTGGGTTTGCGGCCCGAGAACTCAAAACTGAATGCTGCATTAGCAAAATTGGCTGCATATGGTGTCATCTTGTTTATTTGGCATCCGAAAGAATTGAGAGATACACAAAATCGAAATGGATAATGAATAATGAAAGCATCAACCGTAGTCCACAAAATGTGCAAGGCACTGCATCAAAATGTGTTTGCAAAACTGAGTTTGCACATATCCAACTACAACAACTTTAATTACAAATACGTAAGATGCCCATATCTAAGTACACCCTTCCCCTTCACCCTTGGTCGAAGTTCCCATTTGGGTTCCCCAGGCATAATAAGACCGTGATACTGGTCTTCGCTGGACTTTGTTCTCCTTTCATCATCCTCCGCGGCTTCACTCTCATTTCCTCCATTTTGCTCCTCACCATCCTCTTCGCTTTCACTCTCCTTTCTTGCATTTGGTTTGTTCTTACTAACAATTCATGGGTCGCGACTACATAACGCGTGAAATACTCTTCGTTTTTCAGGTGCAGCTTCTTACATCCATATACAAGTGTGTTGCTGCAATTACAACAATATTTATATAATTACAAGACAAATGAGATTGAATAAATTTGATTGAATATATAACAAAACTTGAACATGTAATGAAATACACAACTAAATAATTTACCCACGACCGGAAGCAGGTGGGGTTATTGACAGCTTCAATAATATTGCGTTGACGTTTGCACCAATCCCTACTCTCCATGCTCAACTTATCCTCCCAAATTGTGGGGTGCACACCAACCTTCTCCTTCTTATCCCACTTCAAAGGCTCATAACAGGGAACGAAAAAAATAATGTTGCAAAAATGGAGGAAATGAGAGGGTCGCAAAATTTTTGTCAAATCTAACAACGTTTTTT